TTTTTGAGACAAGGTCTCACTAGGCAGTTCAGGCTGGCCTTAAACTCACTTTGTAGTCTAGGTTGGCCTCAAACTCCCAAGGATCATCCTGCCTCAGCCTCCCTAGTGCTGGGTTTACAAGCATGAGCCCCCACACCCAGCCTCATAGACTTTCATAATCCCCCAAATGCCTAAATTGGGTGTGGGCCCATGCCTGTAATTCCAGTACTCTAGGAAATTGAGGCAGAAGAATTGTAATTTCGAGTCCAGCCTAGGCTATTAGCCACTTTGCCAACCCCCATGTCAAAATAAATACAAAAGGTCTGGGGTATAGCCCATTACCAAGGCCCTGAGTTCAATTTGCTGTACCATAACAAACAAATGAACAAACAAGTTCCAGGCCATGAAGTGAGAATACTCTTGTCATCCTTATCCTACAGCTAGTACAGAATTCACTTAGTTGCTTGCGTTACCATGGACTTGGAAATATTGGGCTATCCATAGGGCATGGAAAGCGTGTTTGAGAGAGATATTTTATTATTTATTTTATTTTATTTTATTTTATTTTTGTCTTTTTCTCCTCTGTTCAAAGTTCACCGGCTCATCCAGCAGGGATTGGACACAGTCTCTGCTTTTCAACCCCTGTAAGACAAAGGTAACCATGTTGCAGAGAACACTTAAGTCAGTATTTGTATGCAACTTACCATATACCCTTTCTTTAGAAGTTTCTTGTCCAAATAACTCTGGAAAATAAATGGTCAAAAACTGCTGGGAAAGATTCTAGGTACAAAATATCGGTGTTCTCCTGAAGCTTTCGCAAAAGGCCAAGGCCAATACCTCCACTTTCTGCCGACTCCCACTCCACCCCTTCCTGTCTTGCAGTGCCAGATCCTAGGGTTCCTTTAGGTGTATTCTTTCAGAACATGTGGCTTTGATTACTTTCCAGCCCAATACTTTTTTCTGAGATAGGATAAAGAAAATGTGGTATTCGCACACATTGGAGAACTGCTCTGCTATAAAGAATGATAAATTTCAGGCATTTGTAGCAAAAGGGCTATACTGTAATGTTAAGCCAACAAAATCAGACACATGAGCTTAAATATCACATGGTTCCTCTTGTATGAGAAATCCAAAGGATAAATAAAATAAATTAAATAGCAAATTGAAAGATGGATAACAGGAAACAGGGAGATAAGTCTCTTGTAAATAGGGAGGGAACCAAGAGGCAGAGGGAGGGGAAGGAGAGCTACAAGAGGGAGGATAAAAAGAATTAAGATGTGTTATGCATGTGTATCAGCTTCTCATGACAGATTTCATCATTATCTACTATAAACACATAAAAATAGACATTTAAAAATAATAAAAATAAAAAAGAAATGGACAAATACAAAGAAAGAAACCCAAGAGAAGGTTTAAAACCAAGGACTGAGGGAGCCAAAAGCAGCTACATGAAAGAAAGCCAGTGAATATTTGAGGACTTTGATTTATCTATAAAATGAGAGTTAAAAGTGCTAATCTTATAGGGTACTTAAGACTAAATTAAATTAAGTGTGTCATGATATTTTTATAATGTCTGACCCTCAATGCTCAATAAACGTCCATTGATTAGTAATCTGGTACTTCCACTTGTCCCCCTTCTTCGGCCACTCCAGAAGGCATGTGACAGCCCCCGCTGGGAGGAGAGACTGCTGCTGTTGGTCCACCTAGTTGTCAAGAAAGTCGGTTAAGATGAGAAGATGAATCACTGAGGAGAATTGACCTCATATCTGGTTTTCCATCTCAGCTGTACGTGTGTGTGTGTGTGTGTGTGTGTGTGCTAGATTTCAGCTTTTCAGATTCCAGTATGTGGAGAGGTTTCAATAGTAAGCAACTTCAGTCTCCGCTACTCATGCGCAGCTAGCAATCTAGCGGTCAGAGAGCCTTTGGTTAGAACCACCCCCTGTCTGGTTTTGCAAACATGCTCCCTTTCCATTTCCCAAGGAAATAAAACCTTAGAAGGAACGTGAGATAATTAGAAGAGAAACAAAAGAGATGTCATTCAATGAGTGGAAAATCTTACCATCAAAATAAGCTTTCTATGTTGGCCCAGATCAAAATGGTTGTGTTTTCAGTCAGAGAGATGTTGTTTTCCCTTAAAGCAATACTAGGGTCCTGAAGCACTGTGGATGAGAGATAAGGAAAGATTCTTCCAGAAGACCAGGGATCTGCCTTGGACAGTATGACCAATATGCCTGGGAGACACAATGAGGCTATACCACTGCCTTCCCACAGAATGAGGTTTTTGGCTCTATTGCCTTTGCTTGTTTCATTTTTTGGATGTGCAGGATTTTTGGATGCGAAGGTTTTTACTCTGGGACAGTTTCCCACCTCTATGCAAGACTCTTTGCGGTTTCCACTCCTTGGAAGGTGCCAACCTAAAAATGAAGAATTGGTCAATTTGAAGTGGACGATTTTGGCTCAGGAGTCTTACACTCTGAGAAGGCTGAATACCTGCTACTCTAAGAAGAAACAGCATATGATGCTAAAGCAGTGGGAGATTGTTGTGGATAGGGGAGGCTTCGGATTTAAAATGAGACCAGAAGTGTAAGTAGAAGACATTTAGTTGCAAGAGTATCCCAGGTAGAGAAACCAACATGGGTAAAGGCCCACGGTGAAAAAGCGCACAGACAGGCGGGAGTCTGGAGTAAGTTTAGTTGAGCTAAAGAAGAGGACGGGAAGTGGAGATCCTTGAAACAAGTAGGCAGAAGCCAGACGTGAGTTTTGGGCAAGCCAAATTAAGGGATCAGGCTCTGTCCTTGAACCATTCAGTCCTTGATGGAAGCGTAATCCTCAACAGCAGTGCTGGCTTCTGCGTAAGGCCTGTCTAGACCCATGTCAAGCAAAGAAATAAAGGTGGCCTGAACTCAGGCAGTGCTGATGGAGAAGAGGCAGTGGGGGTTTAGGAGATGTTTAGGTGGAACATTAACAGGACGTGGTAATGGGCTGCATGCGGGGTGCTTGCGGAGGAAGGAGCTGGCAGTGGTGACACCCAGGAATTTGGCACAGGTGCTGGCTACATTTCAGTGAGAAGGGGACCCAGGGCGAGAAGCAGGTGTTGGCGGACAGGTGGTGCATTCCGTGGCGAGATAAAACTTGGAGTGTTATCAGTGTATAGGTCATTGTTGCTCAAATTATTTTCTAGATACCAGTCGCACGGACCCCACCTGTGGTACTTAATAAACATAGGTGACCAGGGAGGGCTGAAATAATGGCTAAAGAGTTGTAAAATATTTTACTGATGAAACAGGCCCAGGGAAGATAAATTTGAACATTCTCTCCAAACAAGTGACGCTTTAAGACTGTTCTCGGAATATCCTTAGTCAGAAATGGTGCAGAACATTGATGGAGGAGTAGCGACGGTTCTTTTTATTTCTCCTCTTCTCTCCTCTTTTTCTTGTTATCTGTTCCACACCCCTTTGCCTCCAGGGTGCACTAATTTTATGTATTTTAGGTTTTTTTTTGGGGGGAGGGACAGTACAAGTGAGGCCCAGTCCCATTCTTTCTCTTTTCTTTTTTTAGCCTAATTCAAGACAAAAAAAAAGAGCTTTCATGGAAAGAACAGATGTCATCTGCTTTGGTCTTTTGTGGTGGTTTTATTTTATTTTATTAAAAAAAATCTTCCTGCAGATGAGGCTCATTTAAACATAATGACAGGGCAACAAAAGGCCTTGTACAGAGGAGCTTCAGATTTGGTTTGACTGAGAGAGGGAGCCCAAACAAGGAGCTGTCCTGTCCTTTGGGCTCCCCTCTTTTGAGTCCAGAGCAGCTGCATTTCAGATGCAAATAGAGCTTTGGGAGGGGAAGGAGGAGGGCGGTGGAAATGCCCAGGAAGCTGGCGTGCAGGTGTTGAGGATTCCAGACATCACTGCAACAACAGGCTCTGGGAACACAGAGCCCACAGACAGAGTGGGCTGGAGAGGGCTGGCTTGGAGGGCTCAAGTGGACCCGCAGCTGCACTGGACATTCCTTTTTGTGGTCATCAATGGGCACTGTATTGAAAATATGAGAGTGAGCAACTGGCACATTCAGAGAAAGGAAACACTTGGAAACGAAGCAAATGCGAAGCCGAAGGGGCTCCCCCTTAGCGGTGCCCATTGTTTAAACCCCTGTACATGTGTAAAATAGACATTTGATACATGATACTGTGGCATCCTGGGGCTGGAAGGAATCCCTGGAATCATCAGGTCTGTCCGTCTCATTCTATGGGTAAGAAAAGACACTCCTAGGGTTGGGTGGCGTCCCCCTGCTCACTCAGTGTATGAGAGAGATAGAGAATGTAATGTCCAAGGGGATGGTGAATGGTGAAAATGCCCAAGGGGATGGTGAATGGTGATATTGATGAATTCCTTTCTGTTCACTGTTTTGTGCATATGGTTCTGTGTAATTTACATAGCTAACCTGTAAGATCGACTTCATTACTTTCATTATAATATGGGGAGATTGAGACTTCAGTGAATTTAAAAATCATCCCAAGGCAAAAAGCTAATAATTAATACCCGTAGTCAAGATTTGAATCTATGTAGATATGTTTTAATACAAAAGTCATCCTTTTTTTCATTATACTTCATTTCTCTTTTTTTTTATTTTAAAAAGAGTAAGAAAATAACAAAATAACAACAACATAGACAGAAACAAAAAAAAACCACAAAAACAATAAAAATGACACCGGGTTTCAAAACAAAATGATGGGAATTAACAGTGGTTGTTATATTGCATATTGTTATCTTCCGTGAAGGTGCTCAGATTACCAGGCATTCCTAACTCTTAAACAAGTACTTTTTCCCCTCAAACACACGCCTATACACAGAGCTGTGCATATGTAAATATACATGTGCTAATATTGTGCATATATTAAAAACTCAAAACATAAAATGTATGACATAAATATTATTTAAACTGCATATTAATTAAATATAACTGTTAAATAATTAATTAAATGTAGATATAGTTAAATTACCACATTATCAAATGCAGCTATGAAATAATTACAGTGATAGTGGGTGATTATCTCTTTCTCATAATATGCATCAATAGCTATTTGGTTCTCTGCTGTTCCTTTTTATTGAAAGGGTACTCTTCCTTAGATATAGAGCCTAGTGTCTATGAATATTCTTGTCTCTATGGATCTTACATACTGCATTGTGCCTTAGTTTAGGATCTACATTCATAGGCATTAGTTCAATGTGTCTTGGCAATATCTATGCAAGGAAGATATTAAGCAAGATTCTTGGTCAGCAGGGGAGAAGAGACGGTAAGCGATGTTCCCAGAGAGAGATGGAGGGTGAGACGACTTGGTGACTTTTCATGTCAATATACTGGTAGAAGCTGCTCAGCGAGGGGCATACTGATAGCAGCTATGGGAAGAGGACAGCCACAGAACACATTTACCTTCTGCTTAAAGTTGCTATGGTCCGATGTGTAGAACTCCAGATTTGCAGACAGACACCCTGACACCCTGTGGGTGTGTGAGTGTGGGGGTGGCAGCTGAGATGTGTGGGTGGTGTTGGAAGGGGAAGGGATTGTGGAGAGGTGACCTAGAAGAGGTGAGACTGTGTGGGTGGCTTCCTTTGCACAGATGTGTCACCTCTGTGCCTGCCGGAGGACTGTGGGAGCACTCACCCAAGTGCCCACACAAGACCACCCATGTGGTTAAAGGATACCCATGATTGTGCTGGTGTCTCCAGTCCCGGTCCCAGGGTGGCTTGGGTCCTAGGTTTTTGGTCACTATGTAGAGCACTGATTTTGAGCAGTTTTATTGCTTCAACCTGAGGTCACCTACTTTTCTTTGTGGGCAAACACACATTCCCACCCCTTCCTTGGGAAAAATAGCAGCAATAGCTCTTGCTAATTACTGGGCTAGGAGTGTTGTCTATACATTTGAAGAATAATACAATGTAAAATCTGAGTTTACTAGTTGTAAAGTACCTAGACCAGATATCAATTTTATGGATAGTATTACTGAGGACCAGAGGACAAAGATACCTTTGTGACAGCGTACTTGTCTCTAATATTTCGTCTATTCAGCGTGTATTGAGTAGATTATTCTGAAGAAGGACCTGCCCTCAAGATATCGCAGTCCAGGGGAGAAAGCACAGGGGTAAACAAATAGTCATAATGCCAAGAAGTGAGCCATGGGCATCTAAGAGGCACACACAGCAGAGAGAACATTTGAGCCAAATCTGTAACGATAGGCAGTTTTGGCAGAGACATGCATACCTGTGGGAAGGCGTGGCACGTTCAAAGACTCGGAGGTGGGGAAGAGCGTGATGTGATCCAGCACTCTGAGGGCTGGCTGGAATCAAGGTGTGTCGCTGTATGCATGAGTTTGTGGGGTGGGGTCAGCAGGCAAAACCAGATGGTAGAGAGGTACTGGATCATGAAAGGCTGTATGTACCATGCTGGAGAGTCAGGACCCTCCTATGGAAATTGGATAAGGATTGAAAGATAACAAACAGAGTCATAACACGATTATGAATGAGTTTTGAAAGACCAGGGGCAGGGAAACCAGTTAGATGATGATAGAAAGAAATCTGAGCAAATGATGATGAGGACCTAGCTAGAGCCAGCTGCCATGGGGAAGAAGAGGAGAAAAGAGATGTGAAAATTCAGACAATGGAATGTTTGGAAATATGGGTGGAGCATGAACCAGGGACATCTCAGGGTCCAGCTTGGGTGACTGGAGCAATGACTGCACAGCCAACCAGAGCGCAGCTGAGGCGGGGTGGGTGAGGTGGGTGTTAGATGTTCAATTGTATGAGCTCCATGCACAGTGCTCGGGCATCGGGGAGACCGAGGTGGCACTGTTGGCGGAAAGGATAGTCTGGGGCCCAGGTGAGAGGTCAACATTGGAAATTAGGTGGCTGTCAGGGTTGGAACCTGTGTGCAGTGATTTTAATGATTCAAGATGTTTTCTAAAAGAGTGCTACTCACATGTCCCAGTGGCTGGCTAAAAGTCTCCAGAAGACAGAAAATGCCCAGCATTTGTTCAGAAGGGTCTCCCTTAGACAGGCAGCAAGTCACCACAAGGTCAAGTGGACGGAAGGTTGGGCTAGCGCGCAGGGCCCTGTCAGAGCCAGGAACCCAGCAGGGCCAAATCTCTATCTGGGAGGCATTCTTCATCAGATACACTGTGCACGCATTTCCGCTTCAGCCCCCGCCCCCTTCCCACCACCACCACCTCCTCGCCTTAGTCACTGGAGCTGAGTCATCCTTTGAGCCTATTCCTGTCCCCTTTGTCTCCATCAGGGTGGAAAGAGATTGGGCTGGAGCCACTGGGTATAGGCATTGCCATCTTTTGGCCAGATGGGAACAAGGGGAAGGGTCCTAGACTTGGGGCTCCAATCTCTTTACACCGTTTGCTTCCCTGGAGACAAAAGGGAAGAGTGAGGCTGACCAGTTCTGTGACTCTTAGGAAAAAACGGAGAACAAGAAACTGATGGGGGCTAACCACTTCCTGGGTGCCTGACAAATGCCAGACCTCTCAACCTTCTGTCCATTTCACAATGATCTCAGGTGGTGGCATTGTTTTCAGATAGGAAACATGGAGCTCAGTAAACTCAGCCACTTTCTTAGGGTCACATAGTAGGTATACAGCATCTGAAGGATCTTAAGGTCACACTCTGTCCACTACATTGCTCTGCCTCCCTACACGGTCTCTAAGGGAGAATGGCATTCAAGTCAATTCATGGTGGAATACCTACTATGTGCCGAACACTGACTCAGGATAGTGAATAGAGGCACTTGAGGGGCTCACAAGCTTTGCTATAAATCCTTGATCCTTGGACCCATGCACTGACTAACACGTGCCACCTATGAGCAGCGTCCTCGTGGAGGATGTGACAGTAGGCAAGCCAGAGTTGGGGACACTGTACCACCCATGAGAGGGTCCTCTCATAAAGCAGAGTAAGAGACATTGAATATTCTATGAAGAGTTCAGGGAAGATATGCTGGTTCTTTTCAACAAACTTTGAACCTGGAGGCATTTGATAGACAAGGAGTCTGGGGTGGGAAAATCAGCATTACAAGAAGTGCTGGCACTCTGAGGCAGGGAAGGACAGGCAATTTCAGGAATGAATGGAGAGCAGAATGGATTGGAGGTGATGGGTCGCTGTCAGGTAGATGAACCAGGCTTTCAGAGCACTACCAACAATTGCTGAAATTATGAATATTGTTTGTTTTTCCATTGACCAATCAGCTACTTGTTGCCTGACTGCTTAGTTCTGGGTATTACACTCGGTGTTGGGGTTTGAGGGAGACTGAAGAGTAGGGACAGTCTTTGACATCAAAGAGATCATAGATTCATTTGGCTACAACTGAATGATGTTCTCAAACCTGGATAGTGTTAACAAGGAAGGAAACAAAGATGGCGGGCGAGACCATGGATAGGAGAAAATTCTTTACTGGGTGGTAGAAAGGGCTTCTTCCAAAAATAGCACTTAAGTGGAGCTTGAAAAGTGAATAGGAGGAGAGAGACAGTGTGTCCTGAAAGAGTGGTAGGGACAGAGAATGGAACAGGGGACACTGTTGCAGAAGGGTGGAATTGACAAAGAGAGATCAAATGATGTAACAAGTGCTCCAGCAAAACAACAGGACATTGGGACCTTGGTCTGGAACCTCGCTGAATCTTGCTGAGTTCTCAGAATTCTGTTATTGGGCTCATGCCCTGATGCTCATCTTGGGAAAGAGCTGCGAAGCCCTGGGCTTTCACTGACTTCCACTCGGGTTTTGCTCTGTTACTAGGACTTTCAAGCTTCTGTGTCTGCATTTACAGAGTAGAAGAGAAAAAAACCTATGTACCTTTCACAGTGCTGGTACTGATAAGAAATGACAAAATATAAATTATCTACAGATCATCCTGTAAAAACCAACAATTTTTTTAAAATTTACAGTCAGAAAAGAGCTTTGGCTTTAATTAAAAGTGTGCATACGCAAGAACATACAAACCAGGACTTAACACTCCATGAGGAGTATTTAAGTATTTATTACACAA